GGGGGGTGGGGGTGGAGGGGGGGTGGAGTTTGCATCCAAATAGAGACATTCTTGGGCCAGAATTTCAGAGTGCCAGCGAGTGCAGCTGGCTCGGGGAGCGGGAGCTAGATGCTGAATTCATTACCCCACAGTGCTGCCAAGACAGAGCATACAGCAAAGGGTCATTTGTTTACTGTGTTATTTCAGCAGAGAGAGACCATTTTCAGCTGGAAAAGCACTGTCCTAAAGATTGATGGAATCAAAGAACATGAGGAGAAGGGACAAACTAAGATTCTCCTGTCCTGCCATTATGTGAGATTAAGGAAACAAAATACCCCATTGCTAACACACAAAAGCAATGAGAGCGTGTTTTCAACAAAAATGAAAACCTGGTGAAATATGCTTGTACAGCATCTGGAAAATGAAGCCCCAGCCTCTGGGGCTTTAAGAAATCATTACTTTAGAAAACATTAATGCCATAAGTCGACATGAGATGGATTTTATCCTGCTCTGAGAGTAAGGCGCATATTTAAAAAAAGGACAAAACCACCAGTCCTGAAATTAGAGGTGTTGTGGTCTCTTCAGGCTCTGGTAATAGTGGAGATTAAATGATCGTGTAAGAGCTGGCAAAGAAAAAGTCCACATATCTCAGTATCAAATGTTTCGAAGCCTTAAGCACACAGCATCATTTCTAGCACCACCTGCACACTGAGAAGTACAAATGAAAGAGCCTGAATAAAGTACCAACACCTTGGTGTTTGATACTGGCCTTCTTGCCACTTCCTTACGGCTTCCTTGGTTTTATTTTAGAGAAAGTTAACTTTTATCCTATCTCGAAGCTCTTCCTAATACAGTTTTGAATGGATATCTAACTATGAACCTGGTTTATGTCTGAGCTTTTTCAAACATATGCTGTAAGTCTCCAGAATACTGTCTCCTTCACTTGGCCCCTCAGTTATATGCATAAAATAAGCTACCGTGAGAACATATCCAAAATTAAGCAGGTTATCTTCCTCTGAAAGAATATACAGCAGTTTGGCATCAGCCCAGCACTGTAGAAGTTTCTCTGTTTTCTGCGGGTCTGTTTTTCTCACTTGGAAACAATAGTGGTATTCATGCCTAGGCAGTTCATGAGGTTACCACTTCTGAAGCTGCGTTTCCCAATATGCAGCAATCACTATAAAAGATGCAGCATACTTGAGACCTTAGCACGCTCACTGTTACCACAGTGATTTCCCTTCTGCTGGCTCCTATGGAGTACTTAAAAAATGAATTTGTTTTGAAGTGAAACACTGCATGTGCCTAAGAAACTGCTCAATCCTGCATCTAGATATGTAGACCTACGGGCCAAGGCTTTGTAGGTTGAAATACATATACATTGTGAATGCTGGTCTTTTGTTTCTGTCCTTTCAAATCTTTCTTTCCCCCTCCAGTCAGGTCCTTTCTAGCATTTCTGCACCCAGAAAATGAGCACATTTCTACAATATCCTGTTTTTCAAATGTAGTTTTGTCCCTTTAGTTAATACACACAAGTACTCTTCAGCTGACAAGTTGTCAGCTACATCATTTGCAGGTTGTCAGGCTTCCCACATTACAGTATATTTGCCCAGCCCCAGCAAGAAAGACTATGCCTTTTTCATAGACAAATATAAGGTACAAAATTAATGGTAAATCATTTTCTCCTGTTCAATAAATAGAACAAAAGACAAGCCTCTGCAAAGCAATACATGTTTGTCTTCTGTGATATAACACTATGACAGGCACCACAGAAAGCTATAGAAGGCAGGCGTGCTACAGCAGCTCTGAAGACAAAAAGAGCTGCTGACCGACAAAACTCTTAGGAACCACCAAAAAAGGCTGCAGAATTTGAGTGTCAGGCAAGAGAAGGACAAAGGTTACAATGATGCAATTAGCAAGAGAGAATCATCTAGTAAAATGTAGAAGAGCTGTAGGATAGATATATAGATATATATATAGATATATAGATATATAGATATATAGATATATAGATATATATATGCGCTGGTCAGTCTTTATAGTCAAATGAAAAGAAAGAGGTGCTTTTAGGATATGTTTTTCATTAAATCCTGAAATAGACATTTAAAATTGATTACATGCACCACCATGAATTGCTTTTCCTCTGTTGATTGCTAAGGAGGTGAGAGTGCAAAATCACTAGCAAGCCTGTTCCAAAGCTATTAGGACAGATAACAAAACCCAAATCTGTTTTTAATCTCACATTTTTGTAACATTATAGGAGGCTAACTTAACTAACATCAGTGGACGAGGGAAAATGATAAATGAGGCAATGGTTGCTCCAGATCTATATGCTTTTCAGTGTGTGGTTTATGCATCAAAGGCAGGAATCCAGCAGTTGTTCCCATGAACCAGACCTGTGATCTGTCTGCAGCACTCTGCTGCCGTTTCTAGGAGCAGCAGAAGGTACAAGAAATTCTACAGCAGGAAATTATGAGTAAACACAGCAGATCTTCAAATACCTTTGTCTTTTTGTTTTTGCCCGTTTTCACTTTTGTTTCATCAAGGACAGGTTTTGATAGAACTGCAAAGAAATGAAACTGGTATGTTCCCTTCTGAGGCAGGAGAACAGAACCTATGAGCTAGTTTGGATTTTTTTAAATACACTGCCTTGGGGTTTTTTTTTGGTTGTTTTTTGTTGGGTTTTTTTTTTTTTTTAAGAAGATAATCAGGAAAGGATCATTGTTTTACTGGAATAATTACACAGAATGAGCTATGACAATAACATACTCCTAGCAGGAGACTAAAAACTATCTGTAGATGTCCATTTGTCAGGCCTGAGCTCATAAAACACCAGCCCAGAAGGCCCAGGCTGGTCCCAAAGAGCATCTTCTAAGAAGTGAACACCTTTTCTTGGATTGGGCTGCTCCTCTCTGTGGCTCAGGGTATCACTGTCCCCACTGCCACTTCTGAGTGTGAAAATCCAGGTACCCACCAGTCATAGCAGCTCCATCTCATGCCTTAGCAGCACTATCTCATCCTCATTCTGTATGTCCAACAAGTAAAATGCAGTAGGTGACTGCTGTCTGGGTGGCCAGATGGGAAGAGAGGGCATAGTGATAAACTGCTCATCGGGAGGGCAGTCCTGCAGAAAAGCACAACAGTGTATTTCACATATCAGGATTTTAGAAAGCTGAACAGTCTACGAACAGGTTCAGACTCGTAGAAACTTTTAACTTTTGACACACTTACAAAGTGTGCTGTGGTGCCAGATTTCATCAAGACAAGTAGTCAAGCTAATCAAAATGATCTGGCTGTTCCCACCAAGGGCTGCGTTTTCCAGAGTATGATCTATCATGCGGCATGACAAAGGGATTTTATTGCCAAAGAGGCTTCAGTGGAATCCTCAGTGAGGTTTCAGATTGGTTTCAGAGGAACTAGCTTTCCGGGGAAGCAGGAAATTTGGCAGGATTACCCTCAAAGTTTGTGGGAATCATCTTTGACACTGAAGGGATGTGAGAGTTCACAGACTTGAGATGGATCTCCCCAGCCCATGGAGCCAAGGACTCAGAGGAGAGGCACACCACTGCTGCAAAGCCAGAGTTTTTCTGTGGTGAACATCTGCTTTTTCAGCAGAAGTGTATTTGGCAGGGAAAGTCCATCCCTAGGGTTCCTCAAGGTAGCTGCAGTCACCGTAAGCGCTACAGACCACACACCTCTACAAAAAGCTGCTTGTGAAGAGCGGGCAGTGACACAGCCAGACACTCCTTCGCCTTCCCCTTGGCATTCCCCTTACCCCAAAGCCCTCACACCATCACCTCCTGCACCCAGTCACCGCAGAGCCCACAAAGCCCTGCTTTCCCCACCTGTGCCCTAAAAGGGAACCACAACAGCCATCTCTGTCCCTGAAGGAGAAGTTGGAAGGTCTTGTTGACTTGCAGCACAAGGAGAAGACAGGATTCAGGTAAATCCATGTTTCCTGGGCAGCCTGTGAACTGGAAGAGGTCCAGCCCTGGCAGAACACAGGCACTGTCTGACTCAGAGTCACCCACATGTATCTGGCATGGCACCCAGTGCAGCGGACAACCCTCTTATGTCCCTGGCATGTGGCCACACTCCTGGAGCATGAGCTGGTTCCTGGGCTCTTCACACAGAATTTAAAGGTTAAGAGGTCTGTGCACATCAGCAGGTCATAAACTATAAATTAGGCCGTTAACCCTCAGCACTGCTCCTGGTCACAGGAAGTTAATAAGGTAAAAACTGGTATGAAGAGGGAGAACAAAGAACAGCGTTGCCTGCAAGAATTTAACCACCCGTGTGCTGGTGAGTGCTGGGAATGCCTGGAGTTTCTTCATGAAACCAGAGTTCAGAGATACTATTGCAATTGTCCACACAGTTACATTACAAGAATTAATACAATAAATGCAACCACTAGTAGGTTTTCCTCACTGATTTTAACTTCGGAGAATCCTCCTCTTCAGCCATACTGAGCCACTTGCCGTTTTGTGAGCGTTGACTCTGAGAATTAGAGTTAGGAAACATTTCTGGCTGTTCAAATGCTGATCTTTCTCACTGTGTGCAGCTCCACATGGGATGGACTCTGTTCTGGATGCTGAGGCTCGGGCTCACTCACTCACTAGTTTAAAAGTAATTGAACCTGAAGAGAGTTGTGTGTTGCAGATTAAACTTTGAGTTTTTCACCCATCTTTCTTGTATCAGTTGATTAACAGAAAAAAGTATTTTTCCAACAAACTTTGCCTAGCAGCATCAAT